TGTGGGCTGCGCTCACGCCTTCCCTGTTGGACTGATCAAAGACTTTTCTTTCCTGATACGAATCTAATACTGTCAACCACAAGTGCTCTGACCATGGAGAGCATAGGAGTGATTGTAGGAATAGCTGGCTCCTATGCTGCGACCGTGATCCACTTTGTCATCCTTCCTTTGCTAGTGGACTTCAGCCAAAAGGGCACCTGGGAGAAATTTGATGTTTACGTAAAGCACATGTCACCATTCCAGCACAACCTCTGGGTAATGCTGGTCATCATTTTTGCAGTATTTGCTATAAACACTTTCACAATATTGTATATAAAACACCTTATGCAGTAAATGGATGGTCACGTTGTATAACTGATGCATAAAGAAAGTAGTCATTGTCAATGCCCAGGAAAAAACATAATTTACTGCTAAAAATAGAAGTGGGACACCTCATGACTTACTAACTGGGTCTTAGTCAGGGTGTATTATGTTGACTTCCAATGTGGTGCCTATTAATTTTAAGTCATAACCTATTTTTGGCCTTAGGAGAGTTTTGCAAATAGAAGGCTATGTTGCACTGTATCCATTGGGTAAATATTTTAGTAATAATGTAAAACATGTTGTAATCAGATGGTTAGGAATCTACTTCAGAGAACCCGACCTGCTTGTTAGCTTGCTAGGGACTGTCCCCCCCAGTTTGTGGGAATTCAGGGACAATTTGAGGGAATTTTCAAAGAAAATTTTTTGCATCTAGATAATTGGATATTATTAATGTTAAATTGATCTATTGAGGATAGATCATATAATATCTATCGTGATAATAAGTTATCCTATATAATATCACAGATATCTCTGTGGGCTATTTGGTGACTAAGTGGGCTTTCTGTCCTCTGTCCAGGGAAAGCCCCAGATAATTTATTTTCCTGAATCTTCTCTCCACCACTGTTTTCCATCCACCTTATTTATTAACATAACTAAAGCGAAATTCAGTCTAGGCTTCTACAATGGCTACTCATACTTGCAAAGCTTTTACTGATAGCATTATCATGTTAGTTATACTACCCTTGTATCTCTAAATACTATCTTGTAGTATTTCTTTCATTACATAATGTACTCAAGCGGTCTAAGGCAGATATGATTAAACCCGTGTACTAGGCAATTTGTCTTCTGCGGATTGCATGTAACAAGCATGCAGTAAACTGCTAAACCAGCATGAGTCATAAGCAAAGTCTTATTTAAGAGAAGCAGGGATAAAGGATGAGCGTTTGCAGTACAGCTGCAAGCAGAGAGGAGGGGACCTCGCCAGGTCAGATCCTTGCTCTGTAAGCAAAGTGATGCCAGACTTTGAGGTTATCTCTTTAAGGAAGGACGCTTTTCCAAAGTAATCAACTCCTTTCTCTGCCTGTGTCTG